TTGAACGCCCCTATCTACACTATTAGGTTATTTAACATCCTTCCGACAGGACTGAGCCAAATGGGTAGAATACTTTGAAAAACTTTACAAACCGACCCGAGTTCAAGAATGCCCATGCAGAGATTCAAACCAGGGTCATCAGCTCCGCAGTTCAGCATGATTCTACCTGACCTAACGCAGTGCCCGGTGACTGCAAAAAGAATATGACAATTCAATGAGCACAAACCACACACTGCTAGACACGTTATGGAAGACCAAAGTATTCAAAGTGAGGCACAGGGCAATCTCTGAGAAATTTACTCTTGTAATGTCAAAGAGTACTTCTCCGTTCATTTAATCCGCGTTTATTTGTGGGTGACGTCATGCCGTTCCTTGCTCCTCCCCTGTACAAGTAACTAGAGACTATGGCAGCAAGAACACACAAAAAATGTCTGACCGTGTCTTGAGTTTGCGGCGATACTATTTATCTTTGTGGAGATAAGGGGATAAACCAAAATAAACAAAAGACTATTTCCTACTTTGGGTAATACAGGGGACTAAAAGATTTACCTAGACAGACACAAATTCCGGGCATATTGCATTTAGATGGTGACAGTTTCAACCCCCCCCCCGACACAATATTAGATCATTTATGGGTTGGAAAGGGCGGGGGGTCCCAGGGGTCCCAGCTTGCCTGTCAGGGCCAACCTGGGCTGAGTGGGATGCAACATCTCAGCAGAAAGACACGGATACTTGATAACAGAAATTAGTAGACATTTTCACACTAGAGAATCGAACTTGGATCTCCTGCCTGGGACAACAAAGCGCTAAACCGCTCCACCACTCACTGACGCCGGTATCATTTCACAGGAACAGTTACCTCTGACAAAAAATGTAGACAACAGGAAGGGAACTGTTGGACCTCTTTTTGTGACTGGTGTTGTTTTGTTGGTTTAAAAAAAATTCTTTTCAGCAAATAAAAAGCTAAATCGTAAAGGTTGCTCCCCAGGGTACATATTATTATGTTTTTTCATTTGTTATAGCTAGAGGGTTGAGCATCCCTCTTACAGAGAAAAGGTTCGAAGCTGACTGTGTCATCGTCTGAGGCAGGCCACGTCACCGGCGGTGGGAGAAGCGTGGGTTTTGTGAGAGGATGTTGATGAGAATTACATGTATCAGAATAACATTGAGTATGTTATCTAGCTTAAGATTATTTTTATATCGCTGCTCATTTATATTATGCATGCTTCAGTCTTAGTAGAGGTTTTACGGCATTTGCAACTGCATAAGGCCATATGAGCGCCAGAAGATTAGAGGTATTACGAGAGAGTAACAAATGTTAAAAAAAGAAGGAGAGATAAAGACGGTAGATGTTTGATAGGAAAGAAGGAACAAACCACACCAGAGCACCCGCCAACCACTCACATTATGCATGTGATTGTAACCTGCGAATGTGTGCATGTGTATGTGTGAGTGTGTGTGTGTGTGTGTGTGTGTGTGTGTGTGTGTGTGTATGTGTATGTGTGCGTGTACGCGTGGTGAAACACCAAACCAACGAGCCAGGATCTGGACAATAAAGATGTATTTTACCTTATCTTACGGTGTGTACGAGAAAATACATTCCAACCTGTCTAAGACGGCCTCTCATTGTCGAGATGAAGATGTTTTTAAAAAACAGCGGGGAGTCCTGTTTTATAGTTGGCCTTCCTTCCTGCCGTGCATCGCGGCTCTATGACAAGCTACATAGGTGTCATGTGTCAACTAATGCTGTTTTTTTATGATTTACTTCAATTCCTCCCAATGCAAAGAATGCTTTCCGGCCATGTTTTGGATTGTCCACATACCAGTGTGAAAGGATGTGACGTGTGCGCTGTGGCGTCACCGGAGCACAGACATGTACAGCTACGTGCAGTGTCACGGCTGTCAATCTTCCCTCCTGACAAGAATGTCGACGTCATGCGAGTACGCCAAGGGCAAGGTCATGTTCTTTGGAAGATTAAATGTGAGGAAGCGTGGCCTAGAGGTTAAGATGCTCGTCTCTCATGCAAAGGTCCCCGTTTCGAATCCGGGAAGCGACGGAATTTTTTTTTCTCTCTAAAATTGTCTCCTGTCACCTCCTTTCCTGCTCTCTAGCAATGTCCTGTCGTCTGCTTTTGTCTCCACTTTCTACCCCCCACCCCCTCACCTACTTTGCCCCCTCCTCTGGGCTCCTGACTTTTTCTGCAGCCTTTCTACTGCTACTCCGTGGCTCCTTCTTACTGCTATCTTTCAGCCACACTCCCGATCTTCTGGCAGGAAAGATCTACATGCACCTAGTCTTCTCGGACAAGGACGAAAAATTGAGGAGGTCCAGAGTGCAAGTTCCTACTTTAAAGTTTCCCTTGGTGGTATAAAATCGATAAGAGTAGGCTTCGGCCGCCACCCGGGAAAAATTCAAAATGTCCTACCAACTGAAAATGTTTGGTGTGTCCCGCGCGCTCATATGACCTTGTGCAGTTGCGAGCGCCGTAAAACACTTACCTACCTTACCTCCAGACAAGAATGTCGGCGCCATGCGAGTGAATCAAGGGCGAGGTTATGCTGTTAGGAAGATTAAATGTGAGGAAGCGTGGGAAAATCGGGCGCTCGTTAAAATATCCAATTTGAAGAAACAAGTATTTTTTCGCCAGTTTGGCAATTTTTATCGAATTTCTATTTTTTGGCTTAACCTCTTTTTAGGATTTTACTGAAAAACAATGATAAAAGGCACAAAATATGTCATTTTTCTGTTTCTAAAGACTCTTTTGCTATTGGAGTTACCAAACTTTGGCGGCCATTTTGTCGTTTATTTCATCACAGAAACCAGACGCCCTCGCTGCCTTCAATCGCAAATATCTTGCGTTCTATTCAAGACAAATGAATATTTATTTCATTAGAAGCAAGGCAAACAAACCAGCCTCCAGATTATACCAATAACTCCTCATGCCTGCGCCTGAGTACACTACGTCGTGACACAATGTTCTCTTCGTTTAAATGGTGTGGTCTGAAGAGTGTTGGGCTCCTCCTAAATATGGCGTAAAAGTTACGGCCACCAAAATAACCAGAATAATAGAATAGATAAGAAAATAGTTCAATATTTTCTTTAGCATGTACTCTCGTACAAAACAGACCTGGTGCTTTACAATACTTTAATTTTAATACAAAATCCAAGTGCAAGGATGTGCATACATACTCCCTGCAGATCAACGCTACAACGCAAGCAGATACCCATACTATTGTCCTAGCACAAAGGATGGCGATATGGACATCATATCTCGAAGATGAGAGTACAATAAGTAATAAGGAATACGTGTCAAGACGGAGTTCCATGAAGTATATTTTTAAATTCATTTTTAATTTTTTTTTCCTCCGACTTTGAACCCTTGGAATGTTGTGGGAGAGAGTTCGACGGATAGATATGAGTGCAAGATGAGGTATTAGATAAAGACCTCCCAGTGAGTTTTTGTCCCCCCC